AGCGATTTGTACACCACACACAACGGTAGAGCGATTTGTACACCACACACAACGGTAGAGCGATTTGTACACCACACACAACGGTAGAGCGATTTGTACACCACACACAACGGTAGAGCGATTTGTACACCACACACAACGGTAGAGCGATTTGTACACCACACACAACGGTAGAGCGATTTGTACACCACACACAACGGTAGAGCGATTTGTACACCACACACAACGGTAGAGCGATTTGTACACCACACACAACGGCATAACGGACAAACCTTTTGAAGGAAATGCAGAAAGAAATCGTCGACTTGTACAAGATACTGAGAAGTAAACTGAAACTGTGGACTAAACAGCAATCAATTTAATGGACGACTAGCTAAATACACCATAATACCACTAGAAACAACTAACAATCTCTTGTATGTGATATGAGTACATACCGTGAACCACGCATGACAGGAGTAGCTTGTAACTCGTGTTCGAAGAACTCATATGTAACAAAGGTTACAGGTTCTGCGTCACCAAACTCATGCGATGACGCGTCACTCAAAGACACCTAGAACACATAAGAAAACAACGAGTTAGAAGCTGTGTTTTTTACAATAGAATTGTACTTGCAGCTAGGTAGCGCAGGGTTTGACCTCTTTTTAAGGTCTTCAATTCCATGACTTTCTGAGACATTTTCCATCTGCCCTCGTTGTTTTTCTACTCATTTTCACACTTCGTGCACCTTCAACTGGTTGACATTTTGAGYAAGATACGTGAATTAAACACGACGCATTGACAAAAAAATTGATATTTTCCATCCCTGGAAAGCTAAGAATAAATAATTTCATGACTTTCCGGATTTCCCAAGGCCCCTCCCCTGTAAAGGATAGTGTATGCTCTCTCGCCTMGCTGTCTCTGCATTTAAATCCTACAACACTAGACGTTTCCGTCAAAACATCTCATAGAATAGAAACATCAGCATTATGTCTGATAAAGGTTTGGAATGAACCATGTCATGACCGTTAATAAGCTTACTTACTCTTTCAATATGTATCTCAAAAACGTTTTGTCCTCTCTCTAGTTCTAGCGTGCTGTCCATCTCGTCATACTCAGAATCCTGCAGAAATGTGTGTCAACTATAATTATTATTATATATTATTATCAAAGAGAGAATTTATAAGGTTGGAAAATCATTGGAGGAAGCACGACAGACTGCACAAGATCGACAGTGCTGGAGATATTCAACCAAAGCCTTAGTTTCCATACAATCTCGCCTTTTTTTATTGTTCTCGCTTCCTAAACTGAATTAACAACAATGCAAAGACAAGTTTTAGAGCGATTAGGATGAAATTTATTGGGTAGTTGGATACCAAATAAACGCCTAACCGAGTTAACTGCGCAAAATGCGTCTTTGCGAAAAAACATTTTCGGTGTGAGATTATATGAACACTAGACACCATGCACTATTACAAAGTTAGCCTGCGTACATCCAGTTGRATRAATCTCAGGCTACTACAAAGAGGGAAGGTAAATGAAGATTATGTGGACAAAAAAGGKGTATCAAGTCAATACGCTTTCAAAGTATTAGATGRAATGAAGATCTCTTATTCCTTCACCCACCTCAGATGCGAGGGTCTTGTACTTTTTAGTTCCGTATGCAATGTCACGCATTTGAGCTTCAAGTTTCTGAAATACACACAGCTTGTGAGATGATCAGCRCTTTTTAATACAAGAKACAATGCTTGCATKGATTTCTCACCCTRATTCTGTCAGCCCGTATGTCTAACAGCTGTGCGTATTCTTGCATCTTTAGATCAAATTCTTTTTTGTCTTCCAGCATTTTCTTTGTAACTCTATCCACCTATCAGATATAATGTCCTTATCAACCAGATATGTCCTTATCAATCAGATATAATGTCCTTATCAATCA